CCTCACCGTTTAACACGGGATAGCGCCGAACCTGAAACCGGAGCGGGAAGGGGAAGGGGAAGGGTGCAGGGCGCAGCCCAGGTAATGGACGGGGCTTAGCGGAAAACGCGAGGCTCCTTGCGCGTTGGGAGTGTGGAGGAACTTGCATGGTCCAGACCGCTGTGGGCGATTCAAGGGGAACGTGGTGTGGTAGGTAGTTACTGGTTTTCTATGTGGAACTTGCATTCTTCTTCTCTTCAGGATAATTTTGACTTGCCCTGTTGGATTTGGGTTTTCTTCAGCACTTTCTCCCTTGGATTTTTGGGGGCTACTTTGTGTTTGGGATCTGCTCTGAATCCTGGGGCTGGAAGAGACCTCAGGAAGTCAGCGAGTCAAGCCCCCTGCCCAAAGCAGGCCCAGCCCCAACTCAATCATCACAGCCAGGGCGTTGTCAAGCTGAGACTTATTCTCTAGAATGGAGATTTCACCACCTCCTGAGAGAACCTGCCCCAGAACTTCACCACCCTCCACTTAAACTCTAGAATGGAGATTTCACCACCTCCCAAGGGAACCTGCCCCAGAACTTCACCACCCTCCTAGTGCAATAGTCTTTTCCTAGGCCTCCCCCACTGCAACTTGAGACAGTTGCTCCTTGCTCTGTTTCTGATCCTTTTTCCCCCCTTTTAGTTTACTTTTGAGTGCCTGTAAAACAGAGAAGGGGAAACTTTTTTGGGTCAGAGACTGCTGACCCGCAGAAAAATCAGTCTGGGGCTGCACACAAGTGAGAAGCGCCTTACTGAGAAGGAGAAAGACATTTCCCCTTGCATACCAGAGCCTAGGGGGGCTCAGGCTAGTAGATCTTGTGTGCTCCAGCCTGGTGGGTAGTAGGGGGCTGGAGTACAAGTATGCACTCCCCAGTGTGAAGCCTTGGAGGCTGGATCCAGGCAAGCCGGGGGCTGCATCTGACCCCAGCACCTGAGGTTCCCCACCTCTGCTATAAAAGCTGTTTTTTTCCCCCCCCTGTTGTTTTGTAAAGAGAACCCCATATCTTTCTGCCCCTAGGAATTTGCTACCTTGGTGGTGTCGCATTATAGTACATTTTGGGCCCTAAATAAAAATTTATTCAATATATATATTCTGGGACTTATGGTTTTGAGCTGGGGGTTGGGGACCAAGAGCTGTTGTAGATTAGTATGGTTGGTGGTCAGGAGTTCAGTCTACTTTTGCTTTGTAGATGTTGGTTGGCTTGTTTATAACTGCGGTATTTGGTGTTCTAAAACAGGCTTCTGATCTAAATGGGCCGTGAGTGACCCTACCTAGTATACAGAACTTTTTTTGTATGAAGAAAGTGAAGTTGTCTAGGAGAATGAGGAGACATTAGCAGCTCAACATCTAATCCTTGAGCATCATGAGATTTGCTCTGTAGTGGTTGCTTCTTAATGGCTTTGGCTGCTGTTATGAGTCTTGTTTTGATTGCTGTGGATTCTCTAACAAGTGTCTGTGTTTGAGTTTCCTTGTAGCCCCGGGATCTGTGAAACAGGAAGATGATAAAAGCAAGACAGAAGAGGAACCTATCCCAGTAACCACTCCTCCACTCAAGCAAAGGGAGCAGGTGTTTGCCTTGGAGGCTCCTTTTACCATGCAGCAGGACAGGAATCAAGAGACGGGCATGTTAGCAGTAGGTGCGAGCAGCAAACATCCTCCTCCCTTCCCCATCCCTGAAGCTTGTGCTGTTTAAAGGGGCTTAGATTAATTGAAGCAGGAAGAGAGAGTGCAGCTATTACTGTATGCTGAAAACAAAGTGAGAACCCTCCATCTGTATTCCAGTAGTCCTTAGTGTCTGATTAGGACCGTGATAGAAATGTAGCTGTGTTAGTCTGGGGTAGCTGAAGCATCCTTAGAGTGTCTGTTTAGGACCGTGATAGAGATGTAGCCATGTTAGTCTGGGGTAGCTGAAGCAAAATGCAGGACAATGTAGCACTTTAAAGACTAACAAGATGGTTTATTAGATGATTAGGACCCTTTGCTAATTGCTGTATGAACAACAAAGATGGTTCCTGCTTTAAGATGCTTTCAAATTGTGTAGACAAGGTGGCTACGTCTACACTGGCACCCTTTTTCGGAAATGCTTAAAACGGAAAACTTTTCCATTATAAGCATTTTCGGAAAAAGCGCATCTACATTGGCAGGATGCTTTTCCGGAAAAGCACTTTCTGCGGAAAAGCGTCCATGCCAATGTAGACGCACTTTTCTGCAAAAAAGCCCCAATCACCATTTTCGCGATCGGGGCTTTTTTGCAGAAAAGAAATCTGTGCTGTCTACACTGGCCCTCTTCCGGAACAGTTTTCTGGAAAAGGACTTTTTGCCTGAACAGGAGCAGCATAGTTTTTCCGGAAAAAAACACTGATGATTTTACATTAGATCGTCAGTGCTTTTCCGGAAATTCAAGGGGCCAGTGTAGACAGCTGGCAAGTTATTCCGGAAAAGCGGCTGATTTTCTGGAATAAGTGGCCAGTGTAGACACAGCCGGTGGGTACCTGGGTGAAAAGGGATGAGAAGAAGTGAGTATAAACTGATTATTATCCTCATGGGCCAGAATACCTTGCCAAACTACTTCTCCCCATGAAGCACTAGTTTTCTATCATTGGAGTCCTTTGCTGTGATGCACAGTGGGAAAAGTAGCTTGGCTTATAGAGGCGAATGGGAACATGAGAACTGCAGCACAATTCCCATGAGGCACAGGCAATATTTCGAAATCAAAACAGCTTGGTTCTTTATTAGTCAAAATCTTGAAGGAGGGAAGAGTCCATTTTCCAATGAGCTCTAGCTCTATAAGTGTCTTTTCTTTTAGAGAGCAGTAACTTATTTTTGGCATGAAGGAGAATTTGTTCTATTAGAGGTGTGTGTTCTTTCTTTTGTTTAGAAACCATTGTGAAAAACCAGGAGGTGATGAGGTCGTTGATGGCGGAGCTGGTGAAAAGCATGGGTGCTGTGGAACGCAGGATCCGCAACATAGAACAAGAGATGGGGCTGATCACTAAATTCACCCAGGAGCTAAATGAATTGGGTGAAGACAGCTGGACTTGAAAGTGCTCACGACTTGCTTTGTTCCACATTTTGCAACAGTCAGTCTCTGATACAATATTTCTTCATTGACTCGTCAGTCCTGTTTGGGATGGGGGTTTTGTGATACTTCTAGGGCAGTTAACCATCCAACTACCATTTAGATAATATGGGAGTGAAGCAGTAAAGAGTTTTTTTGTTTGTTTGTTTTTTTTCAAAAGCACTTACCTTCTACAGATCTGTTGATTCCTTTCTATAAGCCACGTGCAGGTTTCAGAAACTCCAGTCTCCACAAGCATGTAGTCTTTAAGCTGTAGAGCTTTGCAGTTGGCTGCTACTACTTCCCCTAGTTGCCAAGATGTTAGACAGGTTCCCTAACACCTCTTGTCTGCAATGCAAAGCCATTCCCAACTGGGTAGACTATTCTTCCCCTCACACTGGTATCCACTGGTCTGGTCTCTTGGAATGCTGCCTTTATCCTGATGCATAATTTATAAAAGACGGGCTGCATTAAAAGAACAAATACTTTTCATCAAATGCTGGTTTTGGTTGCATTTGTAATAAGGAACCCTTTAGTCTCATCAGTAACAACACTAGAAATTTGGGCATGTTCCATCTCCGTCCAGCACTTTCATATTTGCCTAAAGATTTCTATAGAGGGATCACTGAACATAAAGCACAGACTCTTTAAATCTTTATTTGATTGGGGGCTCTGTAGGGTTTGTGTTCAGGCTTGGAAGGCTGATACTCCTGAAAGGTTTATGGAGGTGAAATATTCAACTTTTGGATTGAAAGAATGCCACTTATTCCTCTGTTTTGACAGTAAATTAGTTTGAACAGCTTTGCATATAGCAGTGTAATATTCTTTTACTGCTACTACATGTTCTACTCTGTATTTCCCCTAAAATCTATACTGTCTGGTAACCAACTCTGCATGTATTTCAACTAATATTTACACTTCCGGATGACTAGCATTTGACTGGCTAAAATTCCTTGGTCAATCACTGCTTGGGGAATTTGTGAAACATGCTAATCCACTGTTAGGTCAATGACAGAAAGAGTTAGTTAATTTAAAACAATAAAATGTATGTGAAAGACTGCTTTATCAGTAATCCATATTGAATGAGGTCTAGTGACACAGATCAGCTGGTGTAAATTTATGTGGCTTAATATATAGCTCTTGTACTAGCTGAAAGAGCTTTACTAGTATCTTAAGAATGCATACTTTAAAAAAAAAAACTGACTTGCTTCAGACCAAAGCCCCAAGTTTCTGCTTTCTCTAAGAGAAAGTTTGGGATGTGTGAATCTGAAAGGGGCCTGAAGTGTTCTTGCCTGTCAGAAAAGTCTGCAGTCTTCTAGCTATCTGAATGTATTTATTCCCATTCTGATGCTTTTTGGACACAAAGCGATCTTTGTTTCACATGTGCAAAACTCAATTGGATTAAGAGAACATTCACTGCACCATGATAGATGTTCAACCGATGGAAAAAATGGAATCATTTGTGATTTCTCTTGTGTGCTTCATATCTGCAAAATAGGTTCTGCTGCTCTGCAGTTTCTACAAGCAGGTAATAATCCCACCGCCATTGAGTGGGGAAGAGTTTGGGTAGAAATAATGACAGCAATTGGTGTATGTGATGCTTAAGATCTTTCCTGCTTGAAAGCAAAGGTGGGAGCTGTTCATGTGTGTGAATTTAAACCAATATAGTTAAATTGATGAAATCCATTGTGGAGATTTTTACTCCAGAATAAGTGTCTTCTCTAGCAGCTACGTTGGTATCATTACATTGGTGTAACTTCCTTTCCAGACAAACCTTAAGGCTACGTCTACACTGGCCCCTCTTCCGTAAGGGGCATGTAAATTTCAAGAGTCGTCGTAGGGAAATCCGCGGGGGATTTAAATATCCCCCGCGGCATTTAAATAAAAATGGCCGCCGCTTTTTTCCGGCTTTTAAAAAAGCCGGAAAAGAGCGTCTACACTGGCCCCGATCCTCCGGAAAAAGCGCCCTTTTCCGGAGGGTCTTATTCTTACTTCCTAACTAAAAAACGTTTAAACCACTCAAAATCCTAACGAAATATTTTGTCACGCAAGCAAATCTCAACTTGAAACGATCTTTATTTTCAACTTCCACCTCCCCCAAACATTTGTTTTGTGGGCAACTCACCATGATTTTTTTTTTCTCCCCTCTTTGAATTGCCACCTAACTGAAAAAGCCCTTACTTGCCCAGGTCTAGAATTAAGTGCTATGCTCCAAGCAAAGCTTTTCCAGTAATGGGGTGGCCATTAACAAGGTTTCTTGTGCAGATGGATCCGCCGATGCTTGATGAGGGCAGAGCTGTCTCCAAAGTTTCTCCTGCAATCAGGGCAGTGAAAGGGTCTCTCCCCCGAGTGGGTTCTCCAATGCTGAGCCAGGTGTGAGTTCTGATTGAAACTTTTCCCACACGTGGGGCATTTATAGGGTCGCTCTCCCGTGTGAGTCCGGTGATGGGTGGTCAGGGACGAGCGAGCTGTGAAGCCCTTCCCGCAGTCAGCACATGTATAGGGTCTCTCCCCAGTGTGGACTCGGCAGTGCTGGACCATATGGGACCTCACAGCAAATCCTTTCCCACATTCGGCACATTGGTAGGGGCGCTCACCTGTGTGAGTCCGGCTGTGCTGAGAGAGATGAGCACTGCGGGAAAACCCTTTGCCACACTCGTGGCATTTGTAGGGTTTCTGGCCCCGGTGGGTGCCCTGATGCTCCAGGAGGTTGGAGCTGACGTTGAAGCTTTTCCCACAATCGGGGCACTTGTAGGGCTGCTCCCCTTTGTGCAGCCGCTGGTGGGCAATCAGGGCAGAGCTTTCATTGAAACTCCTCCCGCACTCAGTGCATTTGTAGGGTTTCTGCCCCGTGTGGATCCTCTGATGTTTAATGAGGTTGGAGCTGACGTTAAAGCTTTTCCCACACTCGCTGCATTTATAGGGTCTCTCCCCAGAGTGGATCCGCTGATGCACTACCAGGACTGAGCTTACCCGGAAGCTCTTCCCGCATTCAGGGCATTTGTAGGGGCGCTCGCCCGTGTGGCTCCTCTGATGGGCCACCAGCCGGGAGCTGACCCCAAAGCCTTTCCCGCAGTCGGCGCAGCGGTAGGGTTCTGCTCCCGAGTGGGTGCCCCGGTGCTGGGTCAGGTGAGCGAGCTGCGTGAAGCCTCTCCCGCAGTCAGGGCATAGGTAGGGACGCTCCCCAGTGTGGATCCTCAGGTGCGTGCTGAGTGTCGAGCTCCGGTTGAAGCTTTTCCCACAATCTGGACACTGGTGGCATTTCTCTCCCTTGTGGGCACTCTGAATGAATCCTTCCATGGACCCATTCCCTTCCCCCTTTCTCTGCTGCAGCCAGAGTTGCTTTACATCAGCCTGGGGGAAAGATTTTTCCTCTCTCTTCCCTGGAAGTTTTCCTCCTTCGTCTTTCTCCCACCCACCCTGACTTGCACTGGCTTTTCTCAGGCCCATGTTCCCCTCGGCTTCTGTGGACTCCCAGCTCCCTTGCAATGGATTTGTCTCCTCGCCACTTGCCATCCCTGAAATCGGGAGAGAATCCAAATAGGAGACGTTCCTCCCAGTTGGGGGAGGAAGAGGACAAAACAAACCAACTACTGTGTGGGAATCTCTGCAGGTTAGGTTAGTGGGCAATCTGCGGACCGTTGGGGTTCCACCTTTGGGCCAGGTGTAACCACCACCAGGTGGATTTGAACCTGGCACCTCTGAAGCTTAGCATAGGAGTCTCTACCCTCTGAGCTAAAAGCCAGCTCTTTTTCAGCCCATGCTGTAGCTGTCTCTTGATCTTAGCTGTTGCTGTGGTCTAGGTGCCACTGTATGGGACAGTGAACCACGCTAGGTGTGTGGGTTACACGTGCACCCCCTCTCTGCCCTGCTCCCCCATGCCTGTCACCCAGTGGGGCACTGGAGCCTCACACTTACCCCTTCCTTTCCATCCCAGCACTCTTGGAGCACTGTAAATCAGCTGATTTGAGCTTCCCCCTTCCTCTCACCAATTCACAGTGCTCCCAAAAGTTCTGGGAGGGAGGAGGAGTAGATCAGTGTGGGGGCCCTAGTGCAAGAGTCTTGAGGGAAGGGGGCAGAAAGGGAGTGTACACACCCCAGCTGGAACCCCAATAGGCCCCAGCTTGGCCCCCACTTTCAGCCCACTGAGACAGAGGGCCACTCATGCCTCACTCACCAGGCTTGCTTTCCCTTTCCTGGGTTAGATGGTCCCTTCTGGCTTTACAATCTATTACGCTAGGACCATGTCTGGGGAACCTGGACAAAATCCCCTTCAAGTCCTTCACCGGTGGGAAGAGAGGAGCAGAGCCACCTTGTTGTCCCTGCCCATGTCACCGGGCTGAGCGAGGGTTGGGAGCTGCTTGCTGGCGGAAAGGACAAAAAGCCCCAGGCCAACCTACCCTGAGAACAGGATGCATGAACGGCCTGACCTGGGAGAGCACAAGGCAAAGCCCAGCATTGGCCTCTTCTCCCTGATTGTCTTTGAGCTGGTTTCACTGGTTCTTCACCTGGGTGGGTGCCTCTTCTGGAGATCCAGCTCCTATGGTTCTTCCCCTGTGTCCAGACAGATCAGGTCAGGGAGAAGGGATCCTGCTCAGGAGAAAGAGAACAGGAGAGATCAGGCTTGGTTACAGGTTCCCTGGGCTCCCATAAAAGACGCAGGATATGCAGCACTGCCCCTATGTTTGCCAGAGGGGGTGCAGAGGG